GTGGCCCTCCACCCAAAATAATTGCCCACCCGTACTCTAGTGGCTGGGCAGACCCAACACTAATGTTAGTGCTGGGTCATGTTGACACATGCGCTAATGCACTTTAACTAATCACGCCTAAACTTAATGCATGCATTTGCAGGTACCAAACTTAGGCGCAATTAGCCTAATTTCACCATTTTTAATATGCATTAAGGGTGCACATGTGTAGATGCGTGCCCGTAATGTGTATTAAATTAAGCTAATGCTCATTAACGCGTCTTGTGTAGATGCGCCCAGACTGTGGCTTCTAAGCCACAAGTGTCTCTCCAACTATGTCTCTTTACAGAAAATATTACCTAGTGCATGCATTTAAAAATAATTGTATACCTTTCCTACAGCAAATCTTGGGGTGTAAATATTGCTGTGGCTCTTTGGTTAATGCTGTCTCCTCATGTAGCTCCTAAACTAGTTAATACTGAGTGCTATGATTCTATCCTCAGAATTCTCTTGGATGATTGTGGCATAAATAGACAATCCTAGCACTCTAAAGACAGATCGCATGTTCATGGAATATATGCATTAGTTGCACCCTCTTCAACCTCTTCCATCTAAAATACCGGAGCTTTGTGGCTTCAGAGCTGCTGCAGGCAAGATGTTAAAAGCTGGCATGCTAGGCATCACAGATGTCTTTAGGAATACTGTTGGAAAACATTTGTGAGCCTCATCGGAAGAAATTTTGCCTTTAGTGGTAAATGATATCAGAAGCTGATAAAATGAGAAATTTCCTCTCTTTTTTTTTGGCAAAAAGAATAAAATAAAAGGAGAAACAAAGGAGTCCTCAGTTTCCAGATGTTTGCATTAAAGTGGTATTAAATAACTGATTTTTCTAACAAGGATAATTGTCTTCCTTATATCCTCCACAGTTGAAGGCTTGTATATGGGTATCTTTTCTTTTACATAAACACATATAAGTAGCTGTCAAATCTTATTTCATAAGGACATAAGAATTGTCATTTACTGAGTCAGACCATAGGTCCATCTTGCCCAGCATCCTGTGTCTCACAGTGGCGAAGAGTGGATGCTGAAAAGGAGAACTCTTATACTCCCGAGTTGTTTGTCCAAGCTTCCACTTGTAAGCTTCCTTTTTGGTTTAAGCTCACTGAAGAGTTCTCTGCTAAGCCAAGCTGGTCACTTGCCCCATTTACCTGTACATTGGGATGGTTTATTCAAAACACAGCCAACTCTCCTGGATTTCTTCCCCCCTTAGATTGTCCTTCCAGGGCATCTTGTCCATCCATTCCCTGAGGGAGTCGAAGTCTGCTTTTCTGAAATCCAGGGTCCATACTCTGCTGCTCTCCTTTCTTCCTTTTGTCAGGATCCTGAACTCAGTCATCTCATGGTCACTGCTGCCCAACTTGCCATCCACTTCTACATCCCCCACCAATTCTTTCCTGTTTTGTGAGCAGTAGGTCAAGAAGAGCATGGCTCCTAGTTGGTCTGTCCAACACTTGCACTAGGAATTTGTCTCCAGCACTCTCCAAAAACTTCCTGGATTCCTGTGCACTGCTTCCTGCTTGCATTGCCCTCGCAGCAGATGTCAGCATGATTGAAGTCCCCCATGAAAACCAGGGCTTCTAATCTGGAAACTTCTGCTAATTGTCTAAAGAAAGCCTCATCCTCATGTACCTCATCCTTCTGGTCTGATGGCCTATAACAGACATCCACCATAACATCACCCTTGTTGCTCTCCCCTCTAACTTTAACCCAGGGACTTTCAACATGTTTATCTCAATTTTCATACTGGAGCTCTAAGCAATCATATGGCTCTTGTATATAAAGTGAAACTCCTCCTCCTCTTCTCCCCTGCCTGTCCTTCCTGAACAGTTTGTACCTATCCATGACAGTGCTCCAGTCATGCAAGCTATCCCACCAAGTCTCTGCTACTCCAATCACATCACAGTTCCTTGACTGTGCAAGGACTTCCAAGGCTTCCTGCTTGTTCCTCAGGCTCCTTGCATTTGTGTACAGACACCTGAGGTGATTAGCTGATTGCCCTATTTTCTCAGGAAGAATGAGGCCTCCTCAGCTGTCCCCTCCTGCTTCTGTTTCCTCCAGGTCCCCAACTTCCCCACCTACCTCAAGGCTTTGTTCTCCATCCCCTGGTGAACCTAGTTTAAAGCCCTCTTCACTACGTTAGCAAGCCTGTCTGCTCTTCCCTCTGTTTTCAGGTGGATCCCATCTCTTCCTAACAAGCCTTCTTCTTGGGACAACATCCTATGGTCAAAGAAGCTGAATCCCTGGTGGCAACACAATTTGTGCAGCCATGGATTGATCTGCAGGATGCATCCACTCCTGTTAGGGCCCTTTCTCTTGACTGGAAGGATTGAGAAGAACACCACTTGTGACCCCGTCCTGTTCATCCTTATACCAAGAGCTGTGTAGTCACTCTTGGTCTACTCAGGGTCACCCCTAACAGTATCATTGGTGCCCACATGGATAAGCAGCATAGGGTAGTAGTCAGGAGGTTGGACGACTCTCAGTAATCCTTCCATGACATCACAGATCTGGGCTCCAGGCAAGCAGCAGACCTCCTGGGACAACAGGTCAGGCTTGCAGATGGATTCCTCCATCCCACACAGAAGGGAGTCTCCAACCATCACCACCACCCATCTTTTCCTCTTCTTGGCAGTGGTCTTGATCCTCCCCACCTTGGGGATTCCTGGCCTGGCGTCTTCCACCAACAGAATGCACTCCTCCTCCTCTGTTACTAGTGCTCTATATCTGTTCTCCAGGCAAACCACTGCACATGGGGATGATGACTTCTTGCTGCCAGAAGTTACAAGCTTCCAGCTTCCACCTTCCTGGAAGTCCATGCCCTCTTACACATGTCCACATATATATGTCCATTGTAGTTGACTCTCAGTATACATAGAGGTATCTTCACAGTTTCCATGCTTAGGATCTGGTATCAATTGGAAACCTCTACCATGGTGGAATTCCTCCTGTCCTTCTCTTTGTGGTGGACACAGACTGCTAATCATCTTCCTTCAGTGCACGTAATAGGTCTTCTCATCCTTTTGCCTCAGCTGTTAATCATGCAACCTGATTTCTCTCTGCTTTCATGACATCCAGTTCCTTTCTTCCTTGATTCTAAAGTAGTGCTGCTTTAAAACCTTTGAAGATGCATCTATATGATAAACTTGCCAAAATGATTACTTCCTACCCCTTTATGAGGATTGTGCTGCTATATGTATTACCTTCGTACCAGCTGACAAATTCTGACTTGTCAGGCAGAAAACCCAGAGTAAGGATGATGGCTCTTAATAGTGATATTAGGCACTTGTTAAAGGTTTTGTTTGCTTTTTAAGAGACTGTTGTCAAGTAAATTGAAACTTTTCACTGAGGCACTTAAATTTGGCACCTTTCCATTATGATGAGTGTCGCCATCCCTCGAACATGACAGGCAACTATAAACAGCATTGTAAAAGTACAGCTTCCCACTACTTTTCTTGTTTATTAAAGAGATGAATGGCTAAGAAGTTTGTAGTTATTACTAATAAATTATGGCTCCCAGGAAAGTGCTTGGTTCTCTATAAACATAAAAATCACAGTTCCTTCCTCCACTAATTTTGGCAGTCTCTATGTACTTGACAAAGAAGACAAAAACAACGTGTAAAAGGAATTGGTAGTGAAAAGATGGGAACAGTTGTAAATGCAGATAATGAGAATGCTTGGTGATCCTGCACTACCAGAAATGTAATATCTCATCCAGTGCCTAATGTCCTGATGGAAAATATGTAGGAGAAACTAAATAACAACTGCATACCAGAATAAAGACACACTGGAAATCTATCAAAGACAAAAATACCCAATTTCCTGTGGGTACACACTTCTCACAAGACAACCACCCTCTCTAGTCTCTCAGTTCTAGTCCTTAAAGGGAATTTGGGGGGCTCATCTTTGAAACACCTTTCAAAGATAAGCCTAATAACTTCACTTCATAAATCTACTGGATACAAAAAACCATGGACTAAATATAGACATTAGATATAAGGCACATTATAACCTGCCTGATACCTGATAGGTAACCCGTCTGTCTGCATTTTACCAGCTGTATTCTATCACCAGTTCAACATCCCCCCTTTTCCCCTACCCCACCTACCTGACTCACACCTATTGTCTCCCATTGCCTCTGATCTTCACTGCCATGCATTTACATTTTTACAGACCTGCATTTTGCATATTGGCTTCTATTCTATCTAGGAGAGCACACAAAACACCAACCAACTCTCTCTATGCCTAAAGAAGGGTTTTTATACCCAAAAGCTTGCAAAGAACAATTTTTCCAACTATTTAGCTGTTATAAAAAAAGATATCACATTCACCCAAAGAACTTTGTCTGGTGAACTTGTATACATTTCAAAGTTTAATTTTTACTAGCCAATTGCCTGTCAGAAATGGCAGGGGGAGTAGGCAGGGCCAGAGTGCTGCCACCCAGCTCTATCGCCACCACCTCCAAGGAGCAGGGCTGGGAGGGGGAGGGGGTGAGGCCAGAAGTGTTGGCGTTGCCCCCCAGCTCTGTCCCCTCTGTCCCTGCCATCATGACGGCATGGCACCACTGCCGCCTCCTGTCCGGAACGTTCTCAGAGCACTCTGATCGGTTGTTTCAGTCAGCATTGTGATTGGATGCCAAGGCAACCAGTCAGAGTGCAAATACAGTGTTATGGGCAGACAGACAGACAAAGGCTTTTATTTTTATATATATATATAATTTTGTTGCATTTATGACAGTCAAATTGTGAAACAAATGTCTAATGCTTATTTGCAGGTGAAACTAATAATGACTGGCAGTGGATAATTTTGGATGGCCCAGTAGACACAATTTGGATAGAAAACTTAAATACTGTTCTAGATGACACTAGAATGCTCTGTCTTGCTAACAGTGAAAGAATTAACTTGCCATCAAGGATCAGAATGATATTTGAAGTGGATAGTCTCTCTCAGGCTAGCCCTGCTACTGTCAGTAGATGTGCAATGGTTTTTGTGGTAAGGCTTTTTAAACAAAAACAATCATAGATTATTGTTTTAGCTATGAATTATAATGTATAATTTATTTATAATAATATAGACAAGCAGCAAAACACATGCAGCATTGGGTTGCCAAATACCCTTGTACAAGAGTTACCTCTATACCCAAAGACATGGATTGCAAATATTTGAATCCACCTATCACATAGGCTGATGGTTGAATTAAGAACTCATTATCCTATGATACTGATAGGAATACAGTGACCTTTATATTCAGGTGTCCAAATACATGTTTGTGTTCCATCTGATCTACAAACTAGTCAAGGGGGACCAGCAGGCATTGGGAGAGTCCCTGTTCCCCCGAGCAATCCCAGGAGTTACAAGAAACAATGGACACAAGCTAGCAGAGGGTAGTTTCAGGCTAGACATTAGGAAGTGCTATTTCACTGTCAGGGCGGTTAGGACCTGGAACCAACTTCCAAAAGAAGTGGTGCTGGCTCCTACCCTGGGGGTCTTTAAAAGGAGGCTGGACGAACATCTGGCCAGGGGCGTTTGACCCCAGTACTTTTCCTGCCATGGCAGGGGGTCGGACTTGATGATCTGCTCAGGTCCCTTCCGACCCTACAAACTATGAAACTATGATCCCTTTGAAGACAGCGGCACAAAAAAAATCTGCTTTATTTAGAGCAGGATCAAACTATACACTTTGAACAGAACACACACACTTCTGAGAGTTTATGATGAAATATATATATAGCTCATTTTATTTAATTAATAGGATCCAACTAATCTGGGATGGGAACCATACGTTAAGACTTGGCTATTGAAGATCTCCAGAATCATTCCACGAAGTGGTGTAAAGGTCCTTGAAAGTTTATTTGAAATAAGCATGGAAAAAGGCCTAAACTTTTTAGATAGACACAAGAAAATGCAGCCATTTCCTGTTCAGCAGATGGGACTTGTAATGAATCTCTGCAGAATCCTTGGTGCTTTTATTGATATAATGAGAAAAAATGGAGGCTTTGGTCACAGTAAGTAAATATATTTTCAAATTCACTTAAAATACTCTTTCCTTCCAGGTAGACCTTATTATTTGTGCATATATGGCACATCCAGATGAACATGGATGCTTGTTTCCCTGGGGACCAGTAGCAGCATATTTTGAGCAGCAAGGTGGGACGAGGGGGGTGGCAGGTAACCTCATGTGGGGTAGGGGAAGCTGGGGCCAGGAACTGTGCTGGTTCCAGTAGCCTTACCTGGGGGCCTCCCAGGGCTGCAGCCATAGCAGGAAGCCTGGCATGCTGCTGGAGCATGGCTCTGACCAGCTAGGCTCTGATTTGGGGCGCTGCTGCCATGTGAATTGCCCCACTTCTTTTCAGTGCGGGTTTTTTTGACTCCAGGATCTCCTGGGCCCAGGAGGCCCCGCCCCTTCACTGCAAGGTAGCAGTGTAGGGAACATCAGCGTGTGCAGTGTGTGACACTGCAGATGGGTCTGTGGTGCCACATATTGTATGTCTGCGTTCGTCTGAACATGGCCATAATGACACAGTAATTAATTTGTATCAATACCCAAAAGATATAGACTAACACATTTTAGCCACTTTGAGGGAGAGTAGGGCAGCTGCTTAGGAGTGTGCAGAAGTTCTTATGATCTTAGTGTTAGTTTCCATGATCCTGCAGCAATAGAAGGAAGCTAAATCACCCTAACTTTGACCCTGAGGATGGAAACAGACGGTATCTGATTTCTCATTTTTGCCATCTTAAAAAAAATTGTGGCGGCATAAATGCTGATCAAATAGACATCTTTACCCTTTTTTTTTGCATCACATGACACCACCCCCAGGCTGAGAAACAGTGAATTCAGGGCCTTGTCACACGTTACACTTAGGACATGTTAACTGCATGTAAAACACTTGCATCTGAACACTGAAGCAGTAAAACACATGCTAAGTGCTATTGTAGCATAGCAAAGTTAGTACTTTTTCTGGTGAGGAGTATCAGCAGATCATATTATTTAACATATGTTGAGGTAATGTACAATTGCTTCACAGAGGTTATATGATCAGGAGACTTTAGTGCAATGGGGGGCTAGGAATGACAAACAGTTATTTGCTGGTCCCAGCCCCTCCTCACTGCACCAGAGCTGGTTCAAGACTGGTGAGCTGTGGACTCTTGTGAGGTGAAGTCTTGAACCAGCTCTGGTGTGGTGGGGAAGGAACTAGGACCAACAACAGACTGTCATTCCCAGCTCCCACAACACACCAGCATTATCAAAAACTCCAGTGTTTAGAATGTGTTTCATTTAGATCATAGTAAGCATTACTGTGCAACTGCTTAGAAAACTTTTTAAGGGTGGTGGTACACATTGGGACTGGGATATGCTAAAGCTAGGTGGCATTAAAGTTAGCACATTGTGCAAGTAGTCACATGTTAAGGGTTAATAGCCTCTCTGACACGCATTGCTTGGACTTGCTGCTACAGGGCTATCAAGCAGGGCCATGGCTAGGAGCTGCACACCAGCTTTCCAGTGGCTCCACCTCTTGTGGCTCCACCTCCAGTGGCTCCACCTCTCATGGCTCACCCCCTGCACCCATGTCTCCCCTCCCTTCCCCTGCCTGGGGCTCACCTCTATCTCCCACCAGATCTCTTTCCCAGCTCCCTTCTTACCTGTGGCTGCTAGTGCTGTCTCAGGAGCAAGAGAAGCAGCCCTTGGACAGGGACAGGAGCAAGTGTACTGGGCTCAGTCAGGAAAGCAGTGGCAGTGCAGGGGGGTCCCCCTCCCTTCCCTCTCCCTTCCCCCTTCCAGCATGTTGGGACTACCTGGGGGGAGCAGAAAGGAAGGGGGAACCTGTCTACCACTGAACCCAACTCCTCGGTGTTTACCACTAGGGCTGGGCAGGGAGGGGGAGCCTGTTCATTTGTTGCCTCTGACACTCTGGGCTGAGCCCAGCCCCTGTGCAACTCCTGGAGTAGGACTGGTGCTTTCCTCTCCCCTGGGCCAGCACCAGCAGCCACAGGTGAGCAGGGATCTAGAAACTGGGGAAGAGATCCAGGGGAGATGGGGGGTAAGCCCAGAATGGGAGCAGAGGAAGAGGGGAAGGGAGAGATTGTGCCTCTTAACACAGAGGGGAAGGGGAGGGAATTCTTACCTTCTATGGGACTCCTTCAACTTCTTTGGCTGTCAGTCCAGGATGGTAATGCTCCAAAGGATAGATTGTCCATGTAGAGGGGGGTGGGGGGTATGATGATGATGCTGCGGGGCTGGGAAGAGTACATCCTGAGATTCTGGAGGACTATTCCAAAGTCCTGTTGGCCCTGTGGAGCAGTCTAACTTTACTGTAACACAAGCTAGAAATAATACTCCTCCCCGCAAAAAGGATTCTCTCTCAGAAGCTCAGAGCTCACTTAGTTTGTCTTTTCCTGCCTTAACTTGAAGATGCTCCCATCTTAAGAGTTCTTGACTTGTGGTACAGGTAACATGTAACAACACCCTAACCCATAGTAATGCTTCCTACAGTGTAAGTGTGATCAGTCTGTCTCGCTATTTTAGAGCTATGTGAGGTATCCATACAGTACTGCATTGTGCCATGTAGACATACCCTATGCAATGAGCCCTTTGCTCTAAGACACAGTTCTTTCTCTGATCCCTTGTTCTTCTGGGGAAGGGAAGTTATTTAACTGCTTCTCTATACCAGCATCAGGTAACTATCACCTCCCTCGTATGAATTATTTTTGTTTGTTTCCTAGATTTTCAATTATTTCCTTAATTACCAGGCCATGAGCTTTCTTTTCTATGTATTCCCCGAATCTTAGGTTTCATTAAGTATTTATCTTTAGGTTCTCTGTGCTTGGTTTATTTGATTTTATAGCTGGATTTTTGAGGTCATCACTTCAAGTTTGGTTCATAATAGTTTTAGAGCTGTGATTTGACTCAGAGCTTTCATTGAAGGATGAATTGATGCTTCATTCAATTTGCTTTTTTTTCCCCTGAATATACAATGGCTACTTAATATTTTTCACATTTGTTTCAAGAGTTCTTGACTGTCAAATCTGGTATAGTGGTACTACCTGTTTTTCTCTTGGCTTTTCTTTACCACTTTATAGACAGTGCTCCAGTAGATGGAGATACAGCTGAGGTCAGGAATTTGGTGCTTGTTCCCACAGCTCATTACTTTATTCTCGAGTGTATAGAAAATCACTGTGTCCCCTTGAGAGAAAAATGTACTGACCTGTGAGGAACCAAACTCCTGACCAACCTTATACTCCAGGTTCTATTCCACCTACTAAGCTTATAAGTGGACTTGAACACCTAAGTTCTGTCCTATTCAACCTTACTTGAGTCCCTGAAAAACTGTTAATATGAAAGGTGAGTAGGTCTAGGGCCTGCCCAAGGATTTTTGCCACCCTAGGCAAACAAAATGTTTTTGCCCTCCCTCCCACAGGCAGGATGGGTGCATGCAACTCCTGCCCCAGTGCTGCCCTCTCATGCACAGGGAAACACCTTGCAGAGACAAACTCTTGATCCCCATGTGGGCACAGGAGCCTGTGAGCAGTGCAGCTCCCTTCCCCTCATCCTGCATGAGGCACAAAGGGATGGGGCTTCAGGACAAAAGGAGGCTGTCGCAGAGCACTTGGGTGCCCTGCTCCTAAGAAGGAAAAAAACTGCTAGGGAAAGAGCCCTAGCAGTGAGTGACAAGCCTAGCTGCTGGTTGCCAGGGCAACCAGAGGAGGTCAGTTGACCAGAAGGGGCAGGGCCTGGCTCCCATATAAAACCCAGGGGCTGAGGCCAGGTTGGCAGTTCTCTACCAGCAGCAAGGAGCTCCCCCTGAGCAAAGCTGAGAGGAGAGGCCTGACTGCAGGTACAGCCCCAGGGCTGGATAAAGGATGGAGCATCCATGGGGTGTTTTGAGTAATGTTGTTATAGCCGGGCGGCTTCCGTTTATGTTATAGCCGAGGGGCTCCCGTTTTGTTTACTGTTTAAGACCGGTGGTTTGGGTGAGGCTATTAGGGGTTGGAGGAGGCCTCATAGGGGACCCACAGCAGTGTGGGGACCCCAGCATCAGCAAGGGCGCAGCATTCAGGGTGCATTGACCCCAGCCCCAGAGAGGGGGGCAGTTGAGAATCCCCAGAGAGGGGACGTTGATGAGAAGCCCCAGTGCGGGTGTGTTGAGCCCCAGAGAGGGGGGCAGTAAGAAACCCCAGAGCGGGGGCATTGGCAAGAAGTCCCAGTGCAGGTATAGTGAGCCCCAGAGAAGGGGGCAGCATTTTGGAGAAGCCCCAGAGAAAGGGGCAGCATTGACAAGTGCCTGAGAGGGCACAGGGTGAGACCAGGGTCGCGCAGGGCCCAGAGAGGACAATAGGGGACATTATAACAGGGCTGTGACCAAACAACATCAATTCCATCTGCGAGGCTTGGGGCGTGGTAAAGGGATGGTTGGAGCCCCGCATAGCCCATAAGGCTAGGGTGCCCCGAAACAACTGTGCTACCATCTATCGTGGAGCAGGACCTACCAGGGGTCCGGGAAGGCACGGGGTCAGAGTGTACAGGTAACTGTGACCAAGAGGGTGTGAAAGGCAGCCTCCCAATTATATATTTTGTCATCAAAGACGTGATGGGTGAGGATCGAGGGTGCTCATTGGGCCCACTTGGCATGGTAAGGGTGCCTTGGGGAGATCACGGCCATCCTCCAGGACCCCACCCCGTGACAGAGGCAAAAGAGGAGGCCCAACTGTCTGCCATGCCTCTGGCCACTGCAGGAAGCTGCCTGCCTGGGAAATGCAGGCCTCCACTCCCACTGGTCTACCCCACCTCAGAGCCTTAAAGAAAAGCGGGTCACAGATGTACACAGAGGGCACGTCTACATGAGCACTTTACTGCAAATTAGACTAATCTAATGCGCAGTGACGCATCACTGTCTACACATGCACAGCAGTTACTGGGCAGTAGATGAATGTAAAGTGCTGTTTGTTAGTACTGACAGATACAGGTACTAGCCAATGGCGGTTTATGTTAATGTGCCTGAATGCACGTATAGATGTTGAACCCAGAGCAAATCGCTCCTAGTCAGCCCAGGAAGCAAGGGGCCTCAAATGCTGTTCAGCTTAGCCCCAAGCTCTTGGGGGTGAAGGAGGAGCTGACCCTGGTTCTGGGGGGAGTTCTGAGTGACACAGAGCTCAGGGTTGGGTAAGCAGGGCAGGGCAGTGGCAGCTCAGTGTCCTGGGCTGGCATCAGGGAGCCACACCTCCTGCTCCATGCCACTCGGGGCTTGACCCTTATGCTGCTCTAGGTGCCTTGGAGCATCAGGGCAGGGGAAGGGGGGTGTTAAGAAGGGAACGGGTTGCAGGTGGCCAGTGCAATGGGAGGGCAAAGTTTTTGCCTAGCTTTCCTTGCTCAGTCCTCAGTTGTTGGGCAGGCACAGCTGCCAGAGGGCTGTCTCCATCTCTGCCCAGCTGTTTCCTCCCCCTCTACATCCACAGGAGGTGAAGGGTCTCTGCCAGGGGGTGCAGCTTGTCCCACAGCTGGAAGAGGAGTGAGGGGAGGCGAGAAAGGAAAGAGGATCACAGGGGAGGCGTGGCTAGTGGAAGCAATCAAGGATTCTAAGAGGCTTGGGCGGGGTGTGCATCCCTATACAGTAGAGTCACCTTGGGGGAGTGCAGGCTGGGGTGATGCACCCTATTCAATAGAGCCACTCTGGGCAGGATGCATCCCTATGCAATGGAGCTGCTAGGGAGGGGGATGCAGGCTGGCGGGGGGGAGGTATGCTGGGGGTGCGCATCCCATTTTCCCCCACAGCTAGAAGCATCCTGACCCATGTACCCACAGGTGCCAGCTCCTAAAATGCTACTGACTGCAAGCCTGACCAGCAAGATCTATGACTACAACTCGATGCAGCCCTACTTCCACTTGGAGGAGGAGGAGAACTTCTACCTGGCGGTGCAACAACAGGACAGTGAGCTGCAGCTGCCCATCCCCTCTGAGGATTTCTGGAAGAAGGTCATGCTGCTGCCCACACCCCCACTGTCACCCAGCTGCCATGCCACATTCCCATCCACCACCAGCTACCTGGAGATGGTGATGGAGCTGCTGGACAGCCATGTGGTGAACCAGATCTTTATCTCCAACCCCGATGACAAGCCCTTCACCAAGTCCGTCATCATCTAGGATTGCCAAGAAGCTGCTCCACATGCAATCCTGGATGATGATGGACTTGGGGAAGGCTTTGTCATCGGGGTCACAGATGTTGCCACCCAGGAGCTCTGTCACCATCTCCAGGCAGTTAGCAGTGGACAGGAAGATAGCACAGCAGCTGGGCAACAGCAGTGACCTGGGCAGCAGCTCAAACTTCTTCCAAATGTCCGCAGAGGGGGCAGGCAGCTGCAGCTCACTGCTCCATTGCTGTGCCACTAGGTAGAAGTTCCCCTTCTCCTCAGATTAGAAGTAGGGCTGCACTGAATTGTAGTCATAGTCTTAGTTCTTGCTGACCAGGTTTGTGGTCAGTGACATTGCAGTGGCTGGCACCTATAGTGCACATGGGTCATGATGCTTCCAGCTATGGGGGAAAGCAGAGTGCACTCCCTAGCCTTGTGCTCCCCTGCCCCTAGGTGGCTCCATTGCATGTGTGCCCCCTCCCCCCCAAGCAGCTGTACTGCATGGGGTGCATCCCCCCAGCCTGCACCCTCCCCAAGACAACTCTTTTGCATGGGGATGCATCCCCTGCCCCAGACTCTCAGAAGCCTCGATGGCCTTCACCAGCTGCACCTCCCCCAGGATCCTCTTGCCTTCCCCACCTTCCCTCTCTCCTCCTCCAGCTGCAGGACAAGCTGCACCCCCTGGCAAGGACCCCTCACCCCCCAGGGGGACAGAGGGGAAAGAAACATTTGGGCAGAGGCAGCCCCCTAGTAGCTGTAGCTGCCCAGCTCCAAGGATCAAGTGAGGAAAGCCAGGAAAACTCCTCCCTCCCTTTGCACTGGCTGGCTGCAACCCACTCCCCCAACTCAGCACTTCTTTTCCTTGCTGCAATACTCCAAGGTACCTGGAGCAGCACAAGGGCATGGAGCAGAAGACATAGCTCCCTACTGCCAGCCCAGGACACCAGGCTGTCACTGCCCTGCCTTCCCAGACCTGAACCCTGTGCCACTTGGAACTTCTCCACAGCTAGGGTCAGCTCCTCCCCCACCCCCAGAGCTCAGGACTGACCCCCATGCCCCCTGCCAGCCTAGCGCTACCCTCAGTGCTCCTGCCATTCCAGAGCTGGCACCCAGGGGAGCATGGAACTCCCCCTGGCTGCTGTAGGGAGGTAGAGCAGGGCAGGAGGTGTCCTGGACTAAGCTGCTCCTGTCAGGCTTAGTTTGCTCCTGACCCATAGATGCACACCTGGGCACAATTTAATGCACCTAAATTTTCAGGACAAACAATTCAGGTGTATTAATTGCACATGTAGATGAACCCAGAGAGCATGAGGCAGCCAAAGCCCAGGCTGCCTGCTTTAGTTGCCCTCTGCATCCTGCTCCTGCCCACATGGCCAGGACCACATCGGGGACATGTGGCTCTGCTCCTCAGTTTGATTTGCCATCTCTGGGCAACAGCCAAAGTGTGCCTGGAGTCATTGGAGATGGGGGTGGGAGGCCAGGGATCAGGGAAAGTCTGGGACTTGGAGAAGGAGGGAGGGGAAAGAGAAAATTGGCCTAAGGGAACAAAGTCGGGCTTTCTGGGCCCAGATGATCCAGACAGTGGCTACTCCTGGCTGAGCATGTGTGCCACCTACCTGCTCAGAGTGCCGGCAGGCTGCCTGGCTGCCCAGACCACCATTTTTGCCACCCCCCACAATTTGCTTCTTTAGACAGCTGTTTGTTCTGCCTGTATGACTACATTGGCCACCAATGGGTCTTCCTGTTCCTTGCTGCCCTTTGATTTCATCTTAAGGATAAGATGACAGTGCATTTCAAAAGTAAATGCATTTAATGGATTTTCAGGGACTTGAAAGGGGTGGAATAGAGTCTACTTTAGATTCTCAATAGGTGGAATAGAATTGGCCCTTAGAGCACAAACTGCATTCTGGCTGGTGTCCATTTTCCAATGATGAAACAGTAAGTGCGTGTGCAAACTTACTGTTACACAGTAAGTGCGTGTGCAAACTTTCTTCAGTTATTTAGTGTGAAATACTCCTTGAATGGTTGTGGAAGTTAACTAAGACTATTTGGAATTACACTCAACTTCCTTAGTTAATGTTGAATACCAATACTCTGGTCAATTTTGTTCTTGGAAAGTTGTATCTTTCAGGGTGTTGTGCTTACATACTATTGTGAGTTGGCTGCCAGGCCCACACCAGGGTCATTTGGAATTTTGATGGTTCAATTGCACACACACTGTTAAAAACTATATGCTGCTTATGTGAACAGTTGCTAAGGCGTTTTCCTGTAATTCTTCAGGACTTACTCCTAGTCTAGAAGTTATAGGTAGATTCAAAGTTATAGGTACAGAAGGAAGGAAAGACCTCTATCCCCGAACTGAGACAAAGGGAGCTTACTTTGTTAAATGGAACCCTGAAATAGAGAGAGCACACCTGGCTTCTCTCAAGAGAATCACTATTGGTAAACTAATCACAAATTTAACTAGCATTCAAATCAGGCAATGGAAATGCAAAAATACAATCATAACTGGGAGGATGGGTGTTGGTTCTTTCAACAGCTCTTGTTTGGTTCTTTCAACAGCTCCAGTCCATGATTCCTCACTTCCCCCGGGTTTACAATCATATATATATACAATTATTAATGACCTGCATCTATCTATAACTTCATTGTGTATATGTTAATGAAAAAGATTGATCATAAAGACTACCTGCCCAGCTAAGTAAAGAATTTCTGATAAATACTTAGCAACTGTTTAACTGGGATGCCCTCAGATATTATCAGTTACATTCTGACTCTTGACAATGAGTACTTTTCCTTATGGTAATGGGTTCCAGTTGCTTTGTTTGTGTGACTATAGCCAAACACTTAAGTCAATGCTTTCTTGTTTACATCAACAAAAGCTTGGAATCTGGCCTTGCAAACATGTCTCTACACAAGGTAACCCAAAGTTCATTCCACCTTCATATAAGGGACTATATATTAAAGATGGAGGCTGTGGAGAAATCAGCACCCCCCCCCACCCCCCCTCTGCCT